TAGCTCCCACATATATCTTTAATCCGATTTCAGGTTAATTGTGGAAATAATGGCTAATATCAGCTCAAATGGAGTGAATTCCGGGACGCATGTTTCCATTTTGTGGAACTCGGCTCCGATCTATTTTTTAATATTATCCTTTTTGAAGTGATATCATGCACTCTATAGCAAGGCATATCAGAGTTGGATATGCCTTCCATATATTTGTTCCCTCTGAAACCATACAGTAACTGCTGTAAAGCCAACTGTTGATAGGTGGTATGATCTACTTCAAATAAATCCTTTTGTTACGGGAGCTTTACTAAATATGCATAGTGGTGTAGAGTATCATATAGTCGACCCCGTTCGACCTTTGACTTTTCCTTACTGTTTCGATTTTTCATTTTCTAACGGATTTGTGTAATATTTGGCATTTCTATTTCATATAACCGGTGTGAAAATGTTGTCCATATTAGTTCGCGGTTTCTAACGGTACCCAACGATTGTCGATATTGTGTTGATACCAGTCACATTTCCCCACTCGCAATAGATAACAATTCTTGTGGTATAAAATTGTCTACATAGGTTCCGTTTTGGTAGGGCCCCATATAACTGCTCTACTCAATTTATTGTTTTTTATACCCTCCACCATACATAGTATGGAGGGTATATTAAGTTCGTCATCCCATTTGTAACTCATCGAAATAATAATTAGAGACCCAACGAAGTATATATATTCATGATCAGTGTCAAATTCTAAGAAGATTTAGCCCTGTCTGCTGTAATCACGCTATAGTCAAAGCGAATTAAGATAGGTCTGTCTTTTGTCTTCAGGCTGGTCAAGTTCGAAGATGGGTTATATCGGTCCATGATATCGTATAGCCCCAGAATGTCGGGGGTATTCGGTATTGACATTCGGTTTGATGATTTTAGCCACATTTTTCGATGGAATTATCTGAAATTTTGCACAAAGAGATCTTTGTGAGTACTTTATCCCCTGGGAGAGAATTATCTATATAGGTTCACGATGTCGTATAGCCCCCATATAACGGTGCCTCCCGATATTCGATATTTTGATCATTTTAGGCACATTTTTCAACAGAATTGTCGGAAATTCTACAGAAGGAATTCTATGTGAGTACTTTACCCCCAGAAATAGAATTGTCTATATATGTCCACAATATCGTATATCCCCCATATATCGGCACCTTCCGATATTCAGTATTTTTAAGATTTTAACAGAATTTTTAATGGATTTTATTTTATTTATTTATTTATTTTATTTATTTATTTATTTTTTTTTTTTTTTTTGAAAATTTCCAAATTCGTTCAAATTGGCGCACGGTATTCAAAGATCGGCTCGGCCGAACTTACTTACTTTACTTGTTTTTTTTTTTTTTAGTTGAACTGCAATGTCCTATTAATGTATTGAGGAGTGTATCTGACGGTTTCATCATTTATCTCTTGGCTAATTTAAAATGGCAAACGTTACACTCTGCGTATGATTAATTGCTCGTCAGCAGCCTCCTATACACCCATATGTATGCCAAAATGTACGGTTGTATCAAATTTCAAAAAACGTTCTAAACAAAACATAAAAACTTTACATCAATCATAAAAAACTAGGCATCTTGTTTGAATGGGTTAAAAATAAATATTGCAATATTTTGAAATTTGGTGGTTTGAATTCAATCACATTTTTAAGTTTTGATCGACACTACAGTTTTTTTTTTCCTTTTTTATACCCTCCACCATACTATGGAGGGTATATTAATTATACCCTACAACACTATGTGTTGGGGGTATTATAAGTTTGATTGGGCCAAAAATTATGTAACACCTCGAAATATTGATTTCCCACATAGGAAAGTATATATTTATCTTTCTAGCACGCCGAGCTGAGTCGATCTAGCTGTGTATGTCCGTCCGTCCGTCTGTCCGTCTGTCCATGTTAATTTGTAATCACTCTACAGGTCGCAATTATGGCCCGATCTCCACGAAATTTAGAATGTAGGTGGGGTTAAGGTCAGAATAGAACCCTATTTCTTTTGGAGATGATCGCATAATATTTAGGGGTTGAAATGGACCAAAAACTGAAAAAATTCCTGATTTTGCAGTTGCTCTACAGGTCGCAATTATAGAACAATCGACGCGGAATTGCTCATGGGCGGGGAAGAAGCCTACCAATTTGGGTGGTCATCGGATAATATTTAGCGGGTAAAATAGACCATATCTTTTGTGTTGAAAAAATTCAAAATTTTTCATCAAACCGCGAATATTTTAAATCCCGGCGAAATCAAAAACCATGACAAGGTTACTTCTGATCTTTACATTCATGTTAACATCCATCAAATCGGATATATAGCAAAATATGTGCGATATATATGTCTATCAAAGAAGATATGCTTGAAAGATCTCTTATATGTCGAGAACGGCTGAACTGATTTCGACAGTTCTCATTAATTCAAAATAGCCTCTTGGCAGGAAAGAAGAAACGTCTAAAAAAATCGCATAAAAATATCTCTCTAAAGATGAAAATATTGATTTTCTAATATTTTCTCATATTTTTTCAATTTTGTCATATTTTTGGCATATTTTCATTTGGAATTAAACATTTGGTAATATTTCTACAGCTAACAAAACTAAGTAGTTAGGATATCAGGATATCGCATACAGATCGCATTTATGGCCCGATCCTTACGAAATTTTGCATGGGGATAAGATGAGGGTCAGAATAGAAGCCTACTCTTTTTGGAGATGATCGCCATATATTTAGGGGTTGAAATGGACCAAAAAACTGCAAAATTGTCAGCAGGTCGTAATTATCGCCCGATCCTCACACACATTTGAATGGAGGTTACCGGACATTGCAAAAGCTAAATAGTTTTGGATGGCCATCCAAAAATATTCAATGTGTGAAATAGTTTGCCAATTTTTGTAGACAAAATACGAAAATGTCCATTCCAGTGACTTTTTGGAGAATACACAAATACAGGAAAGACGCACTTCTGACTATTTCGTTAACGCTGATTTCGTTGAAGAATATAGTCAAATGTCTGTATCTCATATAGATGCGTTTCAGTCAAAAACCAATAATAAATGTTAATCTTTTGCCACTTCTGAAAGATTATAGGTCTTTGGGAAATATTGGTTTCAGTTCTAGGAAGACCATTTACGTGCAAAATCTACCAATAAATTGGAAATGAGCAAATTAGTTTAAGTTGCTATTATTCGAAAATTAGAGAACGGAACCTGATGGTTTTCTTTTATTATTTGTCACAATATCTTGTGGAATTCTTTCGAGTATCTCGCCTATATAAACTGTATCGTTTATTATAGTGTTGTAGGGTATTCAACGGTCGGCCCCGCTCGACTGTAGCCTTTGCTTACTTGTTTTGTCATTCCGTTTGTAACTCCTCGAAATATTCATGTCAGACCCAACAAAGTATATATATTCTTGATCAGCGTAAAATTCTAAGACAATTTAGCCATGTCCGTCTGTCTGTCTGTGTGTCTGTTGTAATCACGCTATCTTTCGAACAAATTGAGATAGAAGGCTAAAATTTTGCACACATGTATATTTTCCCAGTAGGCAGGTTAAGTTCGTAAATGGGCCATGTAGGTCCAAGTTATTATATAGCCCCCATATAACGGTACCTCCCGATATTCGGTATTTTGATGATTTTAGCGACATTATTCTTCGTTTCAAATTTGGTATTTGAAGTTCATAATGGATACTTCATCCAAAGTCAAAAAATGAGACATGCAGGTCCACGTCTTCATATAGCCTTATATAACGGTACCCCCGATATTCGGTATTTTAATGATTTTAGCGACATTATTTACAGGGATTGTTTCAAATTTCGCATGTGAAGTTCGTAATGGATACTTCAGCCCATGCCAGAAAATTGTCTGTGCAGGTCCACGTCTTCGTATAGCCCCCATATAACGGTACCCCCCATGTTCGGTATTTTGACGATTTTAGCTACATTATAAACAGATTTTTCTTCAAGTTTCGCATTTAAATATTGTAATAATTTATGACAAAAGTTGCCTATGCAGGCCCAGGTCGTCGTATAAGCATTCGGTATTTTTAAGATTTTAACAGAATTTTTAAGGGTTTTTTTTTTGGAAATTGCCAAATTTGTACCAAATGGTGGAGGGTATTAAAAGTTCGGCCCGGCCGAACTTACAGCTTTTTTACTTGTTGTGTTGTCATTTTGTTTCCTTAATAGATCTTATTAACTTACAAGATGTTACTGAATATTTTGTACGGGAAAAGAATACAAAGAGACAAGTTGATAAATAGATTAAAAGTAAACAAATAAAACTAACTTTTTATTGAAAACAACATATAATCACATTGCCGATTTTAAATGACGACAGGTTTGTAGTAAAATCTAACAAAACCTTCACTCGAATCCAGAAAAAATCAAATATCTCTACTCAATGGCAAATCATATCTTAAATAATTCCAAGCACGATTGTACTTGCTCAAAATAAATAGAAATAATGTATTACGAAGCGCAAGTTGATATCCTGGTTTTGAGGTATGGAAAAATACTTTTGTAGCGCGTGGTTTATCAAACAGAAAAACACTGTGTAATGGAATATATGTATGACAATAATCATACATAGATTGTAAAATCTTTATTTGAAATTACTTTTTAATTCAATTGGTGTAGAAAACTAGCCCAGGAACCCTAGTGAAAGTATGTATCTTTTTTTAAACTCACTCATTTTTTTCTTTAGATGCTAAATTTTATAAATCTCCTCAACCACGCAAAGACAAATTTTTATCACAACATTCGCTTTCTTGGGCAATAATCTTTCGTGACTTAGACAATTATTTGAGGCAACTGCAAATTTGTGGGGTAGTAGCCAACAATAATAAAAAACAACAACAGCAGCGAAACCAAATTCAAGTTTTCATTTTCAACTGAACATCTATCTGCAAGTCAACAACTTGTGTTAGTTTAACTGGCTACCATTTTACAATGCAACTCTAATCCATGGTTTATTTTTCTTTGCCTTGTTTTGCTTCTTCTTCGTCAAACCAGCCAGCCAGAATCAAGCCGTTAGACCCAGTATTTGTTTTTGTCCCATGTACCAATGTTTACTTGTCTATTGATCGGTTTGTAGTGTTGTGCTACAACGTTTGCCGTCGACTGACTGGCTTTCGATGTTGTGCGGAAACATTAGTATCTTGTGTCGGTTCCACCGTTATAGACCTATTCGAACGCGCAACACCGCTTAGACGCACACTGGCCTCGGACGAATTTGTTTCGAATTTAATCGGCATACATTCCAAAAACAAAAAAAAGATTTGATTTCAACGACCGTTTCGCAGCGTTTTTTGTTGGGGAATTTTTTTAATGACTTCTTCGTCTGCGTGTGTGTGGAAACATCCAATAAATAACGGAAAATCAGCCATACGGAAAACGAAACAAACTATCCAACCGACCAACAACAACATTTGTAGTTGGATTGCATAAATTTTACTAAAAAAATGTTAATAATACAAATTGAATAAATTGTTTTGCTGTAAAACCGAAACGCCAAATGCGACATTACATTCCCCGCTTTTGAAGTGAAAGTGAAAATACGAAAACATTTCTCATTTTCTTTGTTCAACCAGAAGAAAATATAATTGTGGGTGTGAAAGTGCGAGTTTGAAGCGAGCAACATGACATCGGATCTTCTACATATGGAAAACCCAATCCGGGCCATTCTACTCTTCCTAACTGATTTACTCATATTTTCCCTCAAATCAATATTCTATATTTTGGAATCAATATATTATGGATTAGTACCAGATCGTTTAAGAAAATTAAAGGTATGTTGAAAAAAAAGTATTAGACATTTATATTCATATCGATGAAAAAAAAGACAGCACACAGTTGATGTCTTCATGCTCAACACAATTGTGTCCTTTGCCAGGATATGTCCTATCTATTTATCAATTTGTATGTTTTTATTATTTTGCCGTAAACAAAAATATTGGGTAACTTCTTGTAAGCGAGTAAGGTCAGTTTGCTAGTCGCTAGAAAATCGTGGAAAAGGCAACATCCCTTTCAAGTTGAAAGCAAACAGCATACATACATAAAGTATTCCACATTTGGAAATTTTAGGAAACATGAAATATAGGAATATATTATCTAACGTACTTTCGGTGTTCCTTAACTGCAAAAAAGTTTCCGAAACATCGCCTTTGGCATTTTGTTAAGTACAACGGTGATTTTTTCTATTCAAATTGCCTTGCAGTGAAATTTTATATCAAAATAGGGTATACCTATTGTATATCAAGAAATGGAATTAAATCACAAAACGTCATATCGAGTTTGACACTGGTATTACTGAAGAGTCAAATCAGCTGGGACCATGGTAGAAGAATATAGGTAGGTGCATCAACGCTTGGGAACATTGATATATCAAAGGTTTTGTAAAATATAAGTAGATTTTTATATGATTTCTTATACGACGAAAATTGGAGGTTGTTATGATATGTATTTTTCAACAATTTGTACAATTTTTTTTTTCATTCAATTTCAAAATCGGTTTGACAGTTCATTGTCCCGACAACTGTGTCGACCTGTGTTCTTCTACCAATATGCTGACTATTATTCGAGGGGGAACCATTATATAGAGATGAGGCAGGTGGACGGACAGAGCTAAATCGTCTTAGAATTTTAACCTGATGAAGAGTATACTACTTTGTAGGGTCTAAATTATTATTTCGATCAGTTACAAACGGAATGATAAACATATCATTGTTCTAAAACCTGCAAGTTGCTCAACTTCGAAGAAACAAAGAAAATGCAACTCTGTCCCGGAGTCTTATAGTGTCAAATATATTATTAAACATGCCACAATTGGTTTCGTGTATTATACTTTTTTTACAAAATTAACATATTGGGAAAAGCCCATAAAATATGAATGAAATTATGGGGTTTTCTCCACAAAATTGAATCCATGATAGATGGACAATGTTGTTTTATCCCAAAATAATACACATACAAACTGTGTATATGTTTTGACAGAATAGGAGCACCAAAAGAAAACAAGTAAAAATACATTAAGTTAACTTAATAACCTCCACCATTAGGTAAAAAAAAAACTTTTTTTAAACAAATGTATCTGGATTCAAACGTGTTCCACTTTAAAGTACATATCAGAGTAATATCGGCAGTAGAATGTAGTTAGAGTTTTCAAAAAACAATATATTGGTTGAAGCCATTATATGGGGGCATAACCAAAACGGGAGCCTATAAAAACAATTTTAAGATTAAATACCAACTTTCGTGGGTAAATGTGGCTATGACTATCAAAATACCGAAAATCGGTCTAAAACGCCATAATTTTTACATTTTTTTTTAATTTTATTGAATGAAAGCAAAAAATGTCGGAAATAGCATCAAATTTTAGGATATGTTTAGATTTGTTCGAATTGGTCACCTTTGGCACGAATTATGACCTTCAAACGGACAATGAAACCGTCACACGCTGCCCGACTGTTGCTCTGCGGTATTTTGTCCCATTCCCGGCGAAGAGCTTGCTTGAGGTGATCGACAATTTAGTATTTTTTACTTACAACCTTGCTTTCCAAATTACTCCAGACACAATAGTCCAACGGATTGGTATCCGAAGATATTGGTGGCCATTGTGCGCTGGAAATGAAGCGAGGAACCTCATTTTGCAACCATTCTTGGGTGACGCATGCTGAGTGCGATGGTGCTGAGTCCTGTTGTAATGTCCAAGGACTGCGGCCAAAATGTTTGCGTGCCCAAGGCTTTAATACACCCTTCAGAATATTTTCGCGAAAATATTCGGCATTTATTTTGATGCCACGGTCGATTAATACAAGCGTCAGTCGTCAGTTCACCACTTTCGACCAAGCGAAGCAACTCTTTAGCTCTTTTGAGTCTATTTTCTTTCTGTTGCTGTGGAAGTTCTTGCAATTTGTAAGGAATTTCAATGGCTTTACCGCGTGTTCGCGGAAGAAATGTACGCACCGTTGGAATATTTTTACTACACTGAATTTATTTATTAAAAATATTTCTTAAGAACTAGTTATGATAATATGACTTAACCTAAATTATCATTAAGTGTAAATGAGAGAGAGATAGATTCTAACTGTACACATGCATATGCACCATGCCACCATAAACCTTAGGAGGAGGTCATACACACACATAGCTATCTTACATGTGGCAAGCAAACATGCTGCACTTGCTTATCAGTCTGAGTAAAGATTACATCCCATAATCTAACTCCACCATAACACATGCAGCAACTGAAAATTCTGTATTATTTATTTCTAAATCGAAGGTCTGCTCACTACAGTTTCTTATCTTATTTAAAGACCCCCACATGCTTGCCCCTTTGGTGTTTGTATTTATTTGTGGACTGTACATTTGTTAACAATAGATTTCCTTTCCACAACTTATCTCCTCTATTCAACTAAAATAATTTTATGAAATCTGTTCACTCATCCGTGAACATCTTCCCCGGGGCTTATTTACCCCCATAATTTCCATCATCTTTATAATCTACTTTCTGTTTCTTCGCGTGGTTTTAGTACATCTAAATTTATCCTAACTAATGCCCTTTTCATTTTATACTTATTTCTAATGTTTAATACTACTGCTATTAAAACGAATGTAAGTACTATAATTAATGACGCCATGCCGCTATGATGATGAAAATCCAGTCCTCTAAGGTTCAGCTTCGTCTTCTTCAACTCAGCGATTTCTTTAAGCAGTCCTTGCATGGTCTCCGTATGGTTAATCCTCATATCATTCAGTGGACCCATATTAAATGCAGTTATCTCGGTAACATTGGTGACCAACATCATCTTGTTGTCCACAATTCGCTCCGACTTCAATTGTACCGGTGCAGAAATTAAAACACCTTTGATACGCAGAGTACATCCAGGTTGCAATTCCACTATCCCTTGAAGCGGCAATTTCATTATCATTTGACCTCCTGGATTACATTGCAGATGTGCCGACGTAATGTTGAAAGAACTAACTAGCCAACTGTTTGATGCATGTAACTTTGTCCATAGATGTTCAAGCTGTGTTGTTGTAAATTGACATCTGTGGCTATTGAGAGGCTTTATCGACGACACTTCACATGAGTTGTCATTTGCGTCTATCCACGGCCATCCTCCTTGACATACATATTTATTTTCTGCTAATCGCTGACATCCGTTTAGCTCCGCTTGTGACATCAAGTGGTAAGCATCCGCATTGTAATTGTATATAAGAAACTGATTCCTCGATGTGGCTATCATCTTCGTTCCTTCAAACATAAACGGAATCGGAATAACTTTGTACAGCTGAGACACTTGGTCATTGAAGAGAGGAATAGATACAGCAATCACCAAGTCATTTTTCAACGTAGTAGCTCTGGCAGTCAACAGTTTATAAATTGTCCGCAACTGATCATCCTTCTTCCCTGGCAGCTTCAAGTGGTCTGGTATATGCTGTCTGATGTGGTTTACTGCGTCTTGCAATTGTGCTGGAGTGAGGAGCGCTGTATTCAATTTCCCGTGGTTTATATCAATCAGCAACTCAATTATTTGCGCCTGAACCTTTTCATTCTCTTCCACCATTAGCTGAAGGTCTTTTGTCACCATGAAGAATTTTATGGACTCTTTATACACGAAATAATTCTCTTTTACGGCTTCCGTAATGTTGTTGATTCTCTCAACCATCCTCTTGAAATTAACATTCACCTCTTCCGTGGTTCTTCTCAACACATTTGTAGTAGATTCGACCACTGATGTCTGCTTTTGGATCAGGAATTTCAAATCATGCTGGTTGTTTAATAGGTTCTTCATATTTTCCTCCATATGTCTTCGATCATCCGCATCCATTGTCCCAAACAACACGTTCTGCAGCGATCCTATGAACTCCAGGGGAGCTCTCTTCACTCGCTGAACTTCCCCGGGGAACAAATATTGATTTGTTTTTTCCATATTTCCCACCTGTCTTCCTATCGCGTCTAGCACGTGATCGCACTGGCTCTCAAAGTCCATTAGCTTTGGACATGATGTTCTCATATCTTTTAAAAGTAACTGTGCTCGTTGTATTAACTCAAAATACGGCTGCATATTGAAATGTACTATTACATTCCACGTTGACGCTACTACATCCACGGAGCCACTGTAGTCCAGGTATAATGCTGCTGAATTATTCAGTGGGGTTATTGTACCGCCAATTTGTGCCGCTCTACTTGAATTCACCGACGCCATCAACAACACCGACAGGAACACTCCAACTGCTGAAACTTTGTTGTCTCAATTTCAAGATTGTTACTGTTATCTGCCACCACTAGTCTATTTTCCGTTTCGTCTTTGAAACAGCTTTCATCTTCAGACTGCATACCTTCAGTTTCAGCGTTTTTCTTTCTCATCTTTTCAATTAATTTGCGGATGTCCATCACCAATTGCGGCATTGATGAGACTACTTCGCTGTTCTGGTAGTCACCGAATGTGCCAAATTGAGTTATTATAACTTCGTGATTTTTACGGAAGTTTCCATATTTTTCCTCGAGCGTCCTTTCCATGACTGCCAATCTATTAGGACGTGTTGGTTCCTCCAACTGGCTCTTCAGATCTGACAGAACGTGGTGGATATCTTTTTGGGCATCGCATAATTGTGTAAATTTCTTCATTTTATTTTATTTTTTTTAATTATTAATTTTCACTGGTTCTTTTTTTAAATTAAGGTTTCGAAGGACCAAACTGTTCGCGGAAGAAATGTACGCACCGTTGGAATATTTTTACTACACTGAATTTATTTATTAAAAATATTTCTTAAGAACTAGTTA